CGGGGGCTCTCGTCGCCCTGCGGGCTGACCATGGCGTTGGCCGTCAGCTGCGGCATCTTCCGCACCGAGTCTGGGGCCGCGGCCGGCTCCTTCTTGTCCCCGGGCGGCCGGGGCGTCGTGGGCGCGGGCTGACCCGTGCCGAAGCGGGTGGCCAAGCTGTCACCGAAGAAGGCGTAGAGCTCCCGGTAGACGTCCGCTAGGGTCACCGAAGGGGAAGGTTCCGACGGCCCCGCGCCTCCTGGCGGCAACGGGAGGCCAGCCCCGAAGCCGGGCTCCGCGCTGCCCGCGGAAGGAGACTCCTGCAGGACGAGGCTGTCCCAGGGCAGGTCATCCGAGCGCCGGCAGCCCCTGCCGCCCGGGCCACCCTTGGGCTCTGCCGCCTGGGCCTTCATCTTCAGCAGCCGCTCCACAGCCACCTGTAGGAGCGCACGGATCAGGATACAAGAGCGAGGAGGAACCTGGCCCACCAAGTATTCCCAAGTAAGCCTGCTGAGCTCGTGCATGGAGGGGCGGCACTCACCAGAATGGCTCCATAGACTTTGTGCCCGTCCGCCTTAACCTGGGCATTAGATACTGAGTAGTCATCCAGCACAGCTTGCAGATTTGTCCAGTAGGTGGACAGGTGTGGGTACAGGACTCGTTCTACTGCCTGGGAGGGAGAGAAAGGGATGCAGTGAGGGCCTCTTTATTGCTTACTGTCTCTCAAGTACCCTTTCCCATGAAAGGCCTACTTTTCTCTCTGATACTGGATAGGGCTCAATCCTGCTAAATTCCCTGCTTGGCACATTCAACCAACATTTATTTGGAATCTATTGTATGCCCAGGCCTTCACTAAGCACTGGGAATACAGATGGGGACAAAGACAGACAAATAATAGAAAGTGACCCACTGTAAGTGGCATGTGCCGTATCACTGAGGTAAGGGCTAAGACGGTAGAAGTGATGCTCAATGCTAACAACAGTTTACTTTGCCAACTGCTACCCTGCACAATCAATAGGCAAGGACTGTCCTCACCTAGATATAAACTGGGACTCGGTTCAAGTTCAAATGACAAAAACAATAGATCAGAGCCCTGGACTCTGTTAATATAATTTTAAATCCTGGGGTTAATTTGGGGAAAGCAATTAAGACTTCACAGAGGAGGTTACGTTTTTGTTGGACTTTGATGGATAAGAGCCTTTGGTTAGTTATCCATAGCCTGAGGATTTGAAAATGCTGACAAAACTGACAAGTTCCTAGAAAAATACGACTTGCTGTAGACTCAAGATACATGAAAGCTTAAATAATTCTATAACTATGGTAGTTAAAAATCTAACCACAAATAAAACACCATGCCAAAATTTACAAAGTCTACAGACATTCAAGGAAGAGCACCTCAATTTTATTAAACCAAAAATAAAAAAGAAACACTGCCCCCATGCTATAAAGCCAATATAACCTGACCCTAAAACCAAACAAGGACAGCATATGAGAGAAAACATGATTAATTTCACTCATGAATATAAATAAGTCCTTTAAAATTTTAGTAAACACATCAGTATATAGAAAATGCATTACATTTCAATAAACTTTTGGACCTTTTTAAAGACTATACCATGACCACAGTGAGTTTATCCTAGAAACATAAAGATGGTTTACTATTAGAAAATCTCAGCCCCGCCTGGCACTCCATGGCAGCCACTGAGCAGATTGGACTCCTCTCATGTGGGCACTGCAACCGTGTCTGACAAACCCGACATGGCTGAGATTGAGAAATTCGATTAAGTGGAAATTGAAGACAAATGCAAGAGAAAAATCCACTGCTTTCAAAAGAAAAGAACTACTGACAACAAAGGCTGCACCTGCCTCTCCCATCTGCCTGTCTGGCTGGCAGGGAAGGAAAAGAACTTGCATGTTGGTGAAGGAAGAAGCTGGATAAGACGACAGTGAAATTTAGAGTAAAACCAAGCTGGTCCAAGGTGTCCTGCAGGCTATAAAATGCAGTTTACTCAGAGTGCCTTTTTGTTGTTGTTCAAATGATTTTAATTATTGGAATGCACAATTTTTAAATATGCAAGTAAAATTTTAAAATGGGGGAGGTCACACCTCTATCTACAATTAATCACATTAAGATAAAGCAGAAAACCCAATTAATGATAAAAATAAGAATATAACTTTCTTAATCTAAGAAAGGTTGTCTATAAACACACAAAGTAAACATCAGCCTAAATTGGAAAGGTTATTAGCACTTCTTTTAAAACTGGAAATGAGACAAAGTTGCCCATTATCTTTGGTAAAATGGTAGTAGTGGTCCTAGCAATGAAATAATAAAAGAAATTAAAGGCATTAGGTTTAGAAAAGATGAAATAAAGCTCTCATTATTTGCACATATGATCTACATTCAAAACCCCAAAGAACCCACAGACAAATAGTTTAGTAAAGTAGCTGAATCAATACACAAGTCAATTGTTTCTACACACCAATAAGAAATACCATGAAAAGAAGACACCATTACAACAGCATCAAAGAATAGCAAGGCCTGGCTGGTGTGGCTCAGCGACTGAGCATCGACCTAGGATCCAGGAGATCATGGTTTGATTCCCGGTCAGGGCACATGCCCGGGTTGTGGACTCAATCCCCAGTTGGGGGCATGCAGGAGGCAGGCAATCAATAACTCTCTCATCATTGATGTTTCTATCTCTCTCCCCCTCTCCCTTCCCCTCTCTGAAATCAATAAAGACATATTAAGAAAAAAAAAAAAATAGCAGGAATCTAGGACTAAATTGAACAAAGTATATATAAGTTCTCTTCAGGGAAAATTATAAAAGGATCTTGAAAGAATGAAAGACCTAAAAAAGGGAGATGTGACATATTTGTGGACAGAAGGAATTAATACCATTAATGATGTCAATTCTCTCCAAAGCTGATCGATCTAACAGATTCAGTGTAATTCCAGTAAAAATCTCAATAGCAGCAAAAAGAATTTATTCCAGGTAGGCAACAGTGGTTCATCAGAAAAACTCATTCATATAACCTGTCTAATTATCAGAACGAAGGTGAATAATCATTTGATACTCTCTACAGATGCTAAAAAGGTATTGACAACCTCGATTATCTATTCCTGTTTAAAATATACTCAGTACAAGAGGAATTGGACAGTTCCTTAACATGATAAAAAAGAATGGGCAGGAATTTATGAAATGGTATATTAATATCTGCCATGTTGGACTTTTGAAAGGATAAGACTTTATATACAGCAAGTCAATTAACCAATATCACCCCAATAAATTCATAAATAAATAAATAAGCCCTAGCCCACCAGTGTGGCTCAGTTGGTTGGAATGTTGTCCTGTACATGGAAAGGCCATGGGTTCAATTCCCAGTCAGAGCATATACCTAGGTTCCAGGCTCAATCCCCAGTCAGGGAGTGTACGGGAGGCAACCAATCAATGTTTCTCTCTCTCCCTTCCCCTCTCTCTAAAAATCAACGAAAATGCCCTCAAGTGAGGATTTTTTAAAAATGTATTGAAAAAAAAACTTACAAATAGGAAAAAAATAGAAGTATCTAATAAACTGGGACATAAGCATAAAAAAGAAAGAAAAAGGCTATCACTGAGACTGGCCTAAGGCAAGAACTCAGTACACAGCAGCAGCAAGCATATGCCATTTTTATGGTAAGACACACATATACTATTGTCCTGATTACAAATGGGAGATCTTAATGGCTCTGTGAGCCAGGCCAGGGTCCTCACCTTCCAGCCAAGGGCATGAAGCCCCACCACAGCCCCATAGTGAGAGCAGAGAGGCCGCACAGGGTCTGCCAAGACCTTCTGAAGCGAGAGCAGGATCTGCTGGTAGAGGCCACTTACAAGGTCCCCATGAGTCCTGTGGGAGCAACATGCAGTGAGAGGGGACGAGGCACAGTGCTGCCCAATATGATTCAAGTCAGCACACAGCAAATACCACTGGTATGGCACCGGGGTAAGTGCATGAGGTGGCTAGGGGTGACTGGCCCGGGACATGAAGGTTGGAGACCAAACCCTTGGTGTTATTTGTCATCCATCTGTAGCATCCCAGTACACTGACTGGGAAGCTCTAAGGGAAGAGGCTTCCGACCTCTCAAGATATGGCCTCGAAGCCAGAATTTTAACCCCATCTCCCTTCCCCACCCAACCCACTCAGCTCTGCAGCTGCCCCACCCTTTGTTCAGCTCTAGGCCCCAGAAGATGTGGCTACCAAAAGATGTGGCTGAGAAGGAGGGCAGCACCATCCCGCAGAGTCCAGTGGTCATTCAGGGGGTTGATGGAGGCAGCCAGGGGCTCCAGGACGCAGTAGAGGACACTGCCCACCAGAGAGCGGACATAGGGCCCCAGGCAGAGATGTGGGTTCCGAACCAGGCTCCGTGCCACTTGCAAGAGCCGATGCAGCTGCTCCAAATCATGGCTTACAGATTTCACCTGTTGGTAGAAGAGGGTACCTTAGGGGGACACAAGGGTGCACAGGAGCCTGCCATTCTGATGGCACTTTCCATGAGCCCTACGTGCTGTTGGGTCTCCTCCACACAAAACATTCTCCCCTGCCTAAGCCTGGTCACTTACCCCACTGACCACATAAACAAAGTAAGGCAGGAGTGCTGCGATCTTGGAGTTGGTCTGCAGGTCCTGGAGAGCAATCTGAAAAGGAAGGGGCCACACTGCACTGGATCCACCAGCCCCAGGTAGACATCGACTGTTTTTTTAAAGTACAGTTTAGCACTTGTGTATTCAACTTTTACATGTCTTACTCTTTGATTCAGCAATTCAACTTCTATAAATTTAACCCACTACAAAAGATACCCACTCACACACATACCCACACACAGCACTGTATGTAATAATAAAAAGTTGAACACAACCTAAATGCCTAACATAATTTTTTCATTTCATTTCAATTAAATTAATTGGGGTGACACTGGTTAATAAAAATTATATAGGTTTCAAGTGTATAATCCTATGATATATCATCTATGATCCATTGTGTGCCCACCACCCAAAATCAAATCTTCTAATATATTTTTAACTGAGAAAAGCAGTTATTCTAAAACCAGGTGTTTTGCTAATACCACTTTGGTTTATACTAGAGCAATAATTGCTTATTCATAGAAAAAAGGGTGAGGGTGGTTCTATAGGAGGCTTTCTACTTTGCACGTTTTTATATTACAGTACTTCTGTAATAAACATGCTGGCATTACTTTTGTAAGCAGAAAAAATATATTAGAGTAAGTACATGAGTAAAATCATCTTAGCCCAGCACCTCCGCCACCTGGGCCCTCCAAACGCCTCTGGATAAAGACCCAAAGCTTAACCTCTGTGAAAGCAGACAACAGGCTAGTGAGGAAGGCGCTCAGCTCCCAGGACCCCAGCCAGCCCCTGCCCTGTGCCTGGGGAACAGGAGCCAAGCTTCTAAGGCAGGAATGTATGGTAGCAACATCCTTAATTTTCAAGGGAAAAACAACAGCAGCTAGACATGTGAAGACGTGGAGGCTGTAAAACCCTAAAACAGAGGCCACGTGGTTGAGCAGACCACCAAACTAGCCCTCATCTGACTAGACAGAAGAGGACTGGCAAGGGCACTTCTCAGCAGGGCCTTGGGAGCCCCAGAGGCTAAAGCAGCAGGCGCTGGAATGAGGCCTGGGGACTCAAGAACCAGAAAGCAGGTCTCAAGCAGGCCTGCCCACGCCAACCTGGCTCCCTCTACTTCCTCTTCTCCCCACATCAAGTCCAGGCAAAGGGAAGTTGCAATGTCGATGCTCCACTTAGCCCCAGGCCAACAGACACTCCGAGAGTGGGCTCTGGAACTGAGGTGTGGGGGGCTCCCAAAGGGCCCTGCTGAGCTGCGCATCTCCCTGGGAAGCAGGGTTTCTGCCTGAGCAGGAAGGGGAGTCAGTACTGGAGGAAGACCAGCCTCAGAGCGCACACCCCCCGCCCCCGAGAACAGTGTGGAGAGGACAGGAAGTAGCACCTGAAAGAATCTCGTGAGAATTTGAAAGCTGGACTTTTGTGTCCCAAATTGGGGCCCAGTCACTCACCTTCATCAGCTGTGGATCGTCCCCCAGTACAGCCCGAGTCACTTGCTGGTAGTACTTGAGAAGGTCATCGGTCAGTGAAGACACAGCGCTGGGCACTGTGAGACAATGGGCAGGAGGTGGGCAGGGTAGAGAGCCCAGCCCTCCCCGACAACCACCATCCCCACACGCCCCCAAGGAGCCTGTTCAGGCAGGACTTCCAGAGCACAGAGCCACCAGCCCTCTGAGCGGCCTGACCTTGCAAGCTCTCCACACCTCTGTGCTTGTATGCTGCCTCCCACCGGTCCTCTACCAGACCCTGGGAGTAAGGCACACCCCCTCAGGGACCCCAGCAGGCTGCCCAGACTTCCGAGCCAACATCCAACACATGGCATCATGATTTGTTTGAGGTCTGTGCTCCTATCTCCAGTTATGAGCCCTCTGGGCAGGGACCAGTGCCCACTCAGAACAGGGTGTTGATATACTTGTTGGATGAAGGCTCGGGTGTAGAGGCACCAGCTGCCAAGGAAGGAAGCTTCAACCAGGGGGCCCGTTCCCCACAGTACGCCTTACCCGATCCTTGAGGTGCCAGGTTCCCTTTGCCATCTAGGTAGGAGACATGAACTAGAACCAGAGCAAAGAGACGGCTTAGCCTGGGGTTTTGCCCCTTGTCGCACCACACACCCCTCTGAGTTGTGCCCCATCCACCAGCCAGCCCATCACCACTCCTCTGACAACCTAGCTTTTGTCCCCGCCCTATGATGGACTCCAGCATTTACCTCTCACAGCCGTCTCGGGACAGCCTTTGGGGATGTTGGTGGCCAGGGCCAGCTCCACCAGGTTCACCTCTCGGTCTTCAGGAAAGTAGAGCTCACCCTCCCTGGCGGGGCGCAGAGGCAGCACCTCCTGGGATCCATAACCACACACAGCCTGAGCAAAGAGAGATTGGAGAGCCAGCTGAATCCGGGGGGGGGGTGCCCTCCCAACC